GGGGGAGGAGGAGGAAGGAGCCCTATTTTATTAAGTGGATCCAAGCATTAGTATTGGACACTGAGTATCTCCCGTGCCGCCTTGTGGAATCTTCGGTGCAAATGACATCCCAGCTCAATTTCTATCACACGATAGCAAGTAGTGCTGTGTCAGCCAAATCACTTTTGCTATTATGACTTCATTCCATAACTTGTTGATTTTGTGACCAATGAGCCACATCTGACAGATAAGATCGCAAACAACAAGTAATGATTGTCACTCCGTCATCTTGCAAAGGGATGCTGCTCGAGAAAAATTCAGTTCAGAGACAATACTGCTTATCCAAATTTTTTCCGAAGAACGACAAACATTCAAAGATGGTGGTCGATGCACAAAAACTAACTTTTCCATGTGTTCACTTCTGGCCTCCCTGCTATAGGAAAGATGTTATGAAACTTGAAAGGATTCCAAGAATATTTACTAGGATGGGAAGGAAGGTTTGAGCTAAAAAGAGACACTGACCAGGAAAAAAAGTTTCCCTGCAGTGACACAGCCTGAGAAGTAACCTTCGTGACATTCATTAAATCATGATGCATACATTAGGTGAATCGCTGAGGTAGGGGAGTCGAAAACTAGACAGCATGGGTTTCAGGTGGGAGGGGAGAGATTTAAAAGGGGCAAGTCTTCCACGCAGAGGGTGGTACATATATGGAATCAGCTGCGAGAACGAGTGGTGGAGGCTGGTACAAGTGCAACATTTAAAAGACGTGGACGGGTACATAAAGAGGAAAGGGGTAAGAGGGACACAGGCCAAATGCTGGAAAATGGGACTAAATTAATTCAGGATAACTCATCAGTATGGACAAATTGGAGCGAAGGTTCTGTTTCCGTGCTGCATATCTCAACAACTCTATACAAGATGCCCCTTTTCAACATGTTAAGTTAGAAGTGCACCTTAAAATTTGTTGGGAATGCTGAGACGATGTTTTCAAGAATCTGACTGAAACCATCTATAATCATGACATCTTGCAACTAAATGTGCAATCTTATGAAAACAGCAATCACAGCTACCTCATGTTCTAGACTGAGTAAACTTAAAAAAAACACGTGCAAATGCCACAGGCTAAAATGGAACAAATCAGTGCATACAGTAGAGTAACAAATGAGGTACATAATTGCATAGGGAAGGAGAAAGATACAATGTGCGTCATAGAGACAGCAAACTGAGAAATTAGGGTAAGTATCTGATGCTGACAATTGATTGAAGGTCATTTTACCAGACAATGAACGCAACTTGCTTCTTCTAACTGCGTGAGTGAAACAACATATCAGATCCAAAGAAGTCATAGCATCTACTAGTATAGTCGCCTGAGGAAAACTCTGACAGAAGCGTCATCACGTGCCACCAAACTTCATTTGCAAAGCAAGAATTGATAAACAATGATGTTTTCTTGTAATATGCATATCAACAGACAAATGAAGAGATTTCAGATGCAAACACAAGAGCATAGTTTGACAAGCAAGCAAAACCAAGCAATGCATTAGATTATATGCTAGACGTTAACAGCACATACAACTCTTTGTTCAACAAAAAAGGCAAACCGGAAGAACTATCTACAATAGGCACTTGATAACAAAATTAAAAACAATCTTACATTGCAAGCCACAGAGCAGTATGTCCCATATTTTGCTGAGAACACAAGGTGGAGGTGAGTCTGCAAAAGCTGGTACAATGGTTTCCAAGACTGTAACCAATTTCCTCAAGACACTACGTCCAAAGCTGCCTTGTCTCACTGGCATCACAGTGGACAATCTAGGGCAACTTCCATCTCATGAACAGTCAGGCTGTCAATAGTCACACAGTTGCGGACTCTGTTAACTTAGGATTTACAGAGCTCCCCCTCCCCTAACATCAAGAATTCACAGTCCTTCATAACATTTGCATTCATGTAAATGAAAGGTACTTACGGTCAACATTGACCAATTTGAGACTTCTGTCACTGGTCGAGTAATTCAGAGCCCCACACTGATGCTTTGCAGACACAGGTTCATATCTGACTCTATGGCAACACAATGGCTCAGTGATTACCATGTCACAGCTCCAGGGACCCACTTCAAAGCCACCCTTGGCCAAGTGTCTGTGTGAAGCTTGCACGTTCTTCCTGTATCTGCATGGGCTTTCTCCAGGTGTTCCATATTGCCCAAAGATGTGCAAGTTAGGTGCGTTGCCCATGCTGAGTTGCCCATAGTGTCCAGGGATATGCGAGGTAGGAGAGATGTTCTTCGGAGGGTCAGCAGGGACTCAATGCACCAAATGCCTTGCTTCCACACAGTAGAGATTCTACGTATCGCATGCAGGACACCATTTGCACTTCACACACGTCACATCCGCTGTACCGGTTGTGGCCTCCTCTACATCGGGGAAACCAAGCGGAGACTCGGGGACCGCTTTGCAGAGCACCTACGCTCGGTTCGCAATAAACAACTGCACCTCCCAGTCGCGAACCATTTCAACTCCCCCTCCCATTCCTCAGACGACATGTCCATCCTGGGCCTCCTGCAGTGCCAAAACGATGCCACCCGAAGGTTGCAGGAACAGCAACTCCTATTCCGCTCCTATGATGCTGCTTGGCCTGCTGTGTTCATCCAGCTCTGCACCTTGTTGTCTCACCTCAGTTGTTGAAGCATTTGCTGCTGTTGGGTGTCACATTTACATTTGAAAGGTAAACAGTCAGTCTGTACTCACTCTGCTGCTTTCAGAGAACAATATATGCATATCCTGCGTGACCCCTAATATGAAGGATGAAATTTTAAGATAATCAGGATTGTTGCTCCACCTATCCCTTGTTGAACAGACCAAACAACTGCTCAAAGCAACAGCCTGACAAGGCTGAAATAGGCAAAGACGTGACCAGGACAGATCCACCCCATATCGGCAAAATGGAAATTAGACAATAAATCTTAGGCTTCACATAGAGGGACACAGCACGCATTAAATGAGGTGTGAAACATAATTCTGTGTTACCTCAATTGAAAACCAGATTACTGCAGGTGCTGTAAGCCTGAAAGGAGGACTGGGGATGTTGAAAAAATATTCAGGATACTCGGCGGAAAGCAATAAACAGACTTAATAATTCAGATTTGTGAACTTTCATTGGAATTATAATGATTGGTTATGAACAAAGACTGTATGAGACAAGAACAAAAGGAAGGTCTGTGACAAGATGGAGACATAAAAGTCCAAGAGCTTATGTACTTTTCAAAAATCATGACGGACTTCAGAAGAGGTGAATGGCAACTGTCTGTTCCCTGTGGTGGGGGATTTCAAGACTAGAGGCCAATTTTTCAAGGCGACAAGAAAAATTTAAGAAAGACATGATGTGCAATTTATTGATACACCTCCAGACTCTTACAATAGTGTGGTTCTTGCGTGCAATGAAATTCCAGAAGAAGTGGTGGCCACGGGTACAGTAAAAATGCTTAAGAGGCATTTGGATGAGTTCACAAACTTGAAAAAAAATGTTTGTAGGGATATGGGCCAAGCAGAGGCAGGTGACACTAGTTTAGTTTGGGATTATGATGCATTGGCTGGACAAAAGGGTCTGTTTCTGTGCTATATAACTCTATGACAGAGAAGTAAGTCTTCCAGCACTAGAAGAAATGGAGCTGCCACAAGAAAAGCAGTGACAAAAGACATACATAGAGTACACGCAACATGGTTGACAGTGATTTCCTCCAAGATAATCATGCACAACGTGATCTTGACTGAACCAAAACAATATATAAAATAGTT